GCTTGTTGGTTTTCGATAAGCAGTTATCTTACTATCAGCTTAGCAACTAGATGGTGCAGTGGATAGGGCACTGGGCTTATAGTCCAGAAGATCTGAGTTAAAATGTGGCCCCAGATACACATTAGCTTTGTGACTCTGGACAAGTCGCTTAATTTCTGTCTGCCTCAGTTTCCTCATCTGTAAGATGGGGATAATAATAAGACCTATCTCCCAAGGCTGTTGTGAGGATCAAATGAGATAATATTTGTAAAGAGCTTAGCACAATACCTGGCACAGAGTAGGCACTTACTAAATGCATGTCCCCCCCTTTTTTTTTCCCTTTCCTTTCCCCTTACTTTTTGGTTTAATAGCCCTTTTGATCAAATTTGGAAGACAATAGACAAATAAATTCTTTCCGGCCTCTGCTGAGTATACTTCATCCTTGGCCAGGCCAGGATATTAAAGTATTTAACCTGTGGTCTAGCAATCCAAATCCCTTTTTCAGACAGCATCTCACTCAGCTGTTTACTTCTCCAATTCACTTTTTTTCCTCCTCCTCCTCTTTCTCCCCTACCCCCTCTTCTTTTTTGGAACTATTTGTGGATTTATACACTTTACTTCCAAACCTTCTCCTTAAGACATTTATCAACAACTTGGTAACTACACCCAGCTCCCTTTCCTTTTTCTTTGGAACTTTAGAATCAGAATGGATTTCCTCTTGCTTTTCTTATAGCCTCTTACTTGTTTTTTTTCCTCCAATCGGTTTCATTTGCCTTTCTTATTCATCTTGCTAACTCCTTTCTCCTTGAGTCCTTCTTTTTAGGTCTTTACTCCTCAATCCTTTTCCTCTTTCAGATTCACTTGTTTAAATTGAGCCCTTTTTTTCCCCTTCAGCTCAAGTGTTCATATCCTCAAGGTTTCTGAAATTTCTCTTTTCCAAATTCTTTCTCTGACTTTAATAAGTTTAAACTCTGACAATTTGCTTCTTGTTATTCAGCGAGAGTCCTTCACACTTCTGTTCTGCTGGTCCCCAACCTCCCCCTTCCCATCCCTCCAGTAGAATGAGAATGCAGGTATAGACTCTCCTTACTGTAATGATGGGGCATTTATATTTCATTGCCAGTTTCAACCCAAATCTGAGTGGCTCAGTCTGCACAGTCTGGTCTTTGTATTGCACCTAGACTCCCCTCCCTACCCCGATTGAAAAGTCAGGATCAACAAAGATTCTTCCTGTACGTACAGGAGTATTTTGTCATGCTGGTTACCATAGCACTGGTTAGAATGGGAATGGCTCCATGGAACACACATGCCCAGAGAACATGCTTACAGGGGCTATGTGTAGCTAAGGCAACTTTGGCTTCTTAGGTGGCATCCCTGCTGGATCCCCTTCTGTCTCTGATGCTTTTGCTTGTTTCCCCACTGAGCTGCTTATGTCAGTGAACTTTGAGCTGCTTTGTCTCTTGACCTGGGTTTCCCTGCTATTCTGTTCTCTCTGCTGCAACTCAGCCACATTTCTTTCAGCTTTTTTAGCTCATAGCCCCAGTGGTATTTCAGCTCTTTTATGATACTAGACCCCACCAAGCCACAACAGGCCAGCAAACTAGGGAAGTCTTTAGGCATTTAAATTTGTCTTTTGAACTGAACGTCTTGATTTCTCCTTGAATATTCTCAGTCTAAACTCTTGTTTGGGCAGCTAGGTGGCACAGTAGATAGATAGAGTGCCAGGCCTGGAGTCAGGAAGACCTGAGTTCAAATGAGGCCTCAAACACTTACTTGCTGTGTGACCCTGGGCAAGTCATTTCAACCTCTTTGCTTCAGTTTCCTTATCTGGAAAATGAACTAGAGAAGGAGATGGCAAAACTCCAGTATCTCGGCCAAGAAAATGGAGTCACAAAGTGTTGGACATGACTGAAACAACTGAATGGCAACAAAAAACACTAGTTTGAATTGTGGCCAGAAAGTTCCTTTTAACTCTTGTTCTACCCCATTTCTATCCTAAATCTATACAGATGGGATGTATGTGTGTGTGGGGGGGTGGGGTGGGGGAGGAGTGTTCCACCTTAACTGACTACAAAAGACCTGGAAGGTTGTGTGATGGTAAGAATCTTTTTAGTTCCCATGATGCTTTAGGTCCCTACAGATCACTTCCTGGAGAAAGACTGAAAGGGGCTGCTGAATGGACTTGTTGGTGATGGTGATCTTTTGCTTCTTGTCCTACTTGCCCCATAGCCACCCAGTTGTTAGGTTTTTTGCCTGTTCTAGAGTTGTTCATACCATCTGGGGACCTAGCCTTAGGCTTCTGTTTGGTCCCTCCTTAGTCTCTTGCTTGTGGCCATTGGAAAAAATCCCCTTATTGGCCGGCTGCTCGTGTTCTTCTCTTGTCCCCTGTCAAAGCTCCTTCAGCCTTGGTCAAATGGGCCTCCATTATGATCCTTAAAAAACCCCAGCTTCTTTTTGTATCATAGTATAGGCATATATAAAATGTTTAGCTTTGTCATGAAGCATGCTGTTGGGTGAGTGAAGTATTCGTTTTAATTTCTTTTGTAAGGCTGTTAAGGTTCAGATGAGCACCGTATCTGGACAGATGGGAAAGGAATCTTGATTTTGTTGACTTATGGGCCTTTATTGCTTACTGTCTTCCTTGAGGAATTAATTGATTAGTCTTCCTCAGAAAACCAGAAGAGACTTCTGATTGAAACGTATATTACAGACTCCTTTATTTCAGTTGAAATCATTAGCCCATTTCTTTTCCTTATTTAAAGGTAGGGTAGTATAATGGCTGGAGAGCCTCCTTCAGAGTCAGGAAGGCCTGGGTTTGAGTTTGCCTTCAACTTAAGTCATTAACTCTGTGACATTGGACAAGTTATTTAACCTTTTGATGTTTTAGGCAGCTCTCAGGATTGCTACTCAGGATGAGTTGCTGCTTTTTCCTGTTGGAGCACAAAAAACTGGGAACTCTCCTTATTCTTGGTGCAATTATAGGTCCAGCCCCGCCCCCCTCCCCTAAAAGTGAAGAAAGCATAGAAAAGTAATGTCTTATTTTCTTTTCAGTTGGGGGAAGAGTTTTGAATTATATACTATTTAGCTGGCAATTTCCCTGGTACAAGAGTAATTTCAACATTGTTTCTAAATCATTGCATTACCATATAACACTAACCATGAGAGAGTTGATTCCTTATTTCTTGCTGTTTTTGTTAATTTCTGGCTGATTGAGAAAATTAAAACTTAATTTTCTTTCAGTAATGAATGGCTCTTGTATTGTAATCAGAACATCAGCATTGGAGTTTATAACTAAATCAAACATTTTTCTTATCCTTAAGGGTTTGAGATTCTAGAGTGATGCTGGTATGATATATAGTTCTAGTTTATATTAATGTAGTTGATCACAAATTAAGTTTTAATCAAGTTTGATTGCTGATATAACACACTACATCATTGGTTCCTAGTTTTTACTTTTAATGATAATAGATGGTCAGTGTACCCTCATCATGCCTATTATCATTAGATCTGCAGAATAAAAATGTGCAACAATGACTTTTTCAGTGTTTTTTTAATTTAGGGATATGACCAAAAGCTCTTTTGTTTGTTTTGTAGTGGTTTGGTCCTCTGTGTACTTTGGAGCAAATTCTGCCTTTGCTTCTTAATTTGTGTTATGGAAAACTACCGAAATCAATCACCTCTGGATAAAATGTGTCATCTTGTCCCTTCACAGTTTCATTATATGTGAAAATCTGTTTCTTTAACGCAGTAAATGTTTTTATTTGGCATTTAAGATGGGAATATAATCAATATAGTCAATATAATTTGGTCTTTTAATGAAATCAACTTTTATGATTCCTTTAATTATTGGTTTCATCTACTTTTACATGTTTCTCATTTTGTGACTAATACATTGAGAGAATTGAGTTAACTCTTACTTTGTTGGTAGAAATAGTTGTTTTTTTTTCCCATCCTAGATAAATTAATGGAAACTTCTACATTGTACCTGAAGTATGCTTTAATATGAGGGTAAAAAAACCAAACAAACCATAAAACCCTTTTTCCATTTTAAGGGTTTTTTTTTTTTGCTTGGCAGATTAAACATCTCTTTTTGAGCAGTTCCTAAAGGAAGGAATAAGTAATATATTCATCAATATCAACATTTCTAGTCATAAATTTTCGAGTATGGGATATCTATGTGAAAAAAAATTTTTTCATCATATCAGATGCACATATTTACACAGAATGCCCAGTCTATTGTTGAATGAAACCTCTAAATTTTGATTTCTTTTATTGTTGTATTCCCTGCACCTGGTACAGATCTGTCTGGATGATATAGTGAGGCAACTAGGGGGCAGGAGGACCTGAGTTCAAATGTAGCCACAGACACTAATTGTGTGACCCTGGGCAAGTCACTTAAGCTCTGCCGTAGTTTCCCAATTGTAAAATAGGTTGCATGACAGCACCGACCTCGCAGGATTATTGTGAGGATCAAATGAGATGAAGTTTGTGAAGTGCTTAGCATAGGGCCTGGCACATAGTAGGTGCTATAGAAACGCTTATTCCTTTTGTCCCTAGACTGTTACAGTAGTTCCCTGGCTAGATAGGTGGCTCACCCTCCAGACCATTCTTCACATTGCTGCTGGACTTGAAGCTCTTTGGCCTAGTAATTTTGGCCCTTAGTCATCTGATGCTCCCCTACTTTTCTAGCTTTAGCTCATTTTATTCTTTCCCATGTACCTACATTCACATTAGTCTTCCCATGTTCTCCTATGTGCCCTCCCCTTTTTTTGCCACTACCTTTTCCTCATCTTCTTAGCTATATATCTGAACCGCCTCTCCCTCTCCCCCTGGGGGGTTTCCTCTCCATCTTTTCAAAGACTGCCTCTTCCTCACTGGTGTTCTTCCACCACCCCCATCCACCCCAGATTCTAAATTTGAACTCGCCTAACACTTGGCACCTGTTTGATGAATGTAAGTATTTTGTATTATAGGTAATTTATGTGTGTGTACCATGAAATCCTATAGGACTCTAAGATCCGATGTGGCAGAAACTATTGAAATTTGGCATTTCCTCAGTGCCCAACACGCAGGCGCTTAATCACTGTTCATTCAGTGCTTTTACTCTGTGCCAGGTTTGGCATTGGGGTAAAGGGGGGAAGAAGAGAAAAGCTTTGAGGGAATTCTCATTTGTTCTTTGCTGTGTGTATTTGTGCATGTGCCATGCACATGCATGTTTGCCATGTGTTTTTGCAAAATTTCCTGATGCTTCTTAACTATTTGGAGATGAACTGCTTAGATAAATAGAGTACATTTAATTGTTTTTTTCTCATACTGTAATTTGTGTACCGATTATGTAAAAATATCTGACAGGTAATTTTCTTTTTGTTTCCTTTTGGTTTTAATAGAACATTCAAATAAAAACTTTGGCCGATGATGTGGTAAGGTGGCCTTCATAGCATGTCATGTTAGATTATCAATGCATGTTATCTTTTCACTATAATATATGGACATTAAAACATTGATATATGTAAGAATATAAAAATAGTCACATATGCATGTATATTATATGTATATATGTATGTATTATATATATGTAATTTCATCTTATGGACAGCCCTTTTCCCATCAATATTGTTGATATTGAGCAGTTTTGATATTACAGTTATACTGGGATTTATTTTACATATCTCTTAAACATTACATTTATTGGCAATGTCAACAATTGCTGAAAGCTGGTATCATAACCCTTTCAAAACTAATTACATCCTTTTTGGATAAACATTTGGCTTCTATGCCATAATGAGGTGCTCCCATAAGACACTGGTGGCTATTCACATCCACTGCTTAGTTATTGGATAACAATCAAGAAAATAACACATCAAATAGTAAGTAAGAAAAAACAAGATAAATTGTTCAGGAGGAATTTGATATCATCACCAATCTTGGTGGAAATGGTTACTGATACAAAGTTTAAATCTATCATTTGCTTTCTGACCAATTAAATGAAAAAAAAATATCCATTTTAAACAACACCTCCTTGTTTTATTTAGAAGTTAACTATCTACAAATAATAGTGTAGATTATTGCTGTTACTTTACACATGTTGATGTTATTTTGCTTAATTTCATTTCCCTTTGGAAAGATAGAGGCAGAAGTTCTTTAGGAATCCAAGACAAAATGAATAGATATAGAACTTAGGGAATAATAAATAATTGAAGAGCACCAGTACCATTATTTTTGCATGCATATAATGCTTGCTTTCATGGTAGCCATGTGTACTATGGAAAAGGCACTTGACAATGAAGTCAGAGAACCTGGATTCAAATGTCATCTCCTATGCTAACTTCCTTTGTTACCTTGGTCAAGTCATTTAATTTCCTCTAGCCTCAATTTTTTAATCTGTAAAATGATTGAGCTGGAAGGGACTTTAGAAGTCGTCTAATCCAGCCCTCATTTTGTTGTTGAAGAAACTGAGGCTCAGAAGAGGTTAAATGAGTCACCCAAGGTGGCAGAATGGAGGTTTAAATGCTGGCGCTCTGCCTCCAAATGCAGCTCTCTTCCCATTGGACCACCTTGCCTCCCCGAGGTTAGACTCCATGACCTCAGAGGGCCCTTTGATCTCAAGCCCAGGGCTTCTTCACCTTTGTTGGGTCCTGTGGACCGCTTGGGCAGAAGTCTGGGGGAAGCCCAAGGATCCCTGCTCAGAATAAGGTTTTTTCAAATAATTGGAGAAAATGCTAAATTTCATTTAGAGCAGAGTTAAAATAAAGATGTTATCTTTTTTTCCTGTCCAAGTTCATAGACCTTAAATCTATCCATGGGCCCCTTGGGGGTGTGTATACCCCAGGTTCAGAGCCCCTCAGTCTGTGATTTATGTATGATCCTACTTAATTTTTTGTTAACTGGTATATGGGGTAATGGGAGAAAGACCATGGAATATTGACTGGTTTCCTACATGTTTAGATGTTTTAATGTCCATAATAACCATGTACACTGTGAAATATAACACGTTAGATACATTGCATGCCTTATTTAGGGTTACTTCAACATTTTTTGTATATTAAAGTTTGGAAAATTTATCTCTAAAATCCCCAGTTTTAAAAATCCTAGATCATGGGAACTTGAAATACCATATTATATATACACATATGTAAACCTAGATTTATGTATGTATATATGCATATGTTATATATATGTATATATGCATACACACATGTATATACACACACGTATGCACATAGCTCACTAGCTAGCTAGAATGGAGATTGGGAGTGTCAGAAATCTTAGGCTCTAGTTTTGGTTTTGCCACAGACTCCTTATCATTAAAATGGGAGGTGGGGGGTGGGAGGTTGACCAGGCTTGCAAGGTTGTTTCCAGGTCTTCATATTTTATAATTCTATTATATCTTATCATGTACAACTAAAGTGTCCTACATTATCAAATGGTATTATGGTAACCCTAAATAAGATGCTTTAAGCCTATGTGTAATTGATGTTACTTTCCAAGCATCTTTTTTCATGAGTGTTCTTTGGATGATTAAAATAATATGGTCCACTCTTTCGTGAGGACTGAAGATTTTGTTCATAACATCCGTGTTCCTTTTGGCAGTGTTAAAGAGATAGGAGGAGTGTGGGTGAGCCTGTGGTAGGTGGGGAGGTGAACTTCAGCATCAGTCTAGATGGGCTGGAGCTTGTCCTTCCTGTTGGGCATGGGATGATTGGCTTTTTCATATGAATGGTGCAGGTATGCATGTGCTGCTTAATAATAGGGAAACCAGAATAAAACTGACCAGTATTCAGTTTTATGGACGTGACTAATTATGTGCTGTCTAATCCCTTTTTCAGATAACAAAAAATGGAATTATTTTCAAACACAATTTAAGCCGTTAACTATTTTTTTTTCCTGTGATACTGCAAGCTAATTAACAGAGATTGTGCTTTGAAACAGTGCCTCAAGATTTGGTTGTCCTTAATGCTGTGGTCCTCAGAAAAGTGGCCATGTAGAAATAAGATATTATTTTTTTCCTACTCAGTTGTTATTTAGTAGGCAACAAAATGGACTTTTAAGATTTTCCATGTTGGGATTAACTGGCACCCCAGATTTCTGCTCTTCCCAGGGACTGTCATTCTCATTGACATTTTAGCCATGAAAATATCTCCTAGTCTTTAGGAGGAAGGAAATCCCTGCTAGCCATTTCCCCATAATTGGGGATATGTATCCAAAGCTTGGAGCTTGGATGTTTCCATTTTTGTGCTGAGGAGATGTGGAATGTCTTTTTTTAGGCGTTGGGGAAGGAGAAAGCTTTGGGCCAGGGGAATACCTTTCCTCAGCCCCCCAAATCTCATTTGAGGAACTACTTTCAAATTTCAAAATAGTACACTCTCTGATTAGAGTTTGCAGCTTAAAATAATATTTTGTCATAGTTGTGACATGTTTGATGGGTTGTATTAAGAATAATTTGGATGCTTCATTTCTTAGTGTTTCTTGAGCCCTTTCTTAGATCTTTTCCCCCTTCCTATTTGCAGCGAGACCGAATTACAAGTTTTAGAAAATCTGCCGTCAAGAAAGAGAAACCTCTCATTCAGCACCCCATTGACTCTCAAGTTGCCCTGACTGAGTTTCCAGCGTCACAACTATTATATGAAGAGCGATCCCAGAATTTGTCCGAAAAGGAAGTGCAGGATATTTTTGAAAAAATGATGGTAAGCCAGACCCCTTGTTTTGTTGTAAATTGTGTGTGTGTGTGTGTGTGTGTGTGTGTGTGTAGAATGGCACTTGGCTTAGAGTGGTTTTATTTATGTATATATGCTGCTTCTACTACTTAAAGAGACAGTATAAGCAATTGGGTGGCCCAACAACTCTTTTCCAAAAAAAACTTCAACATTGTGACTGTTGATTTTTTTTTGCACAGGGTGTGATTTCATCTTACTGAAAATATCATCAGCTATTTCATGGGGGTATTGAATGAGGTACAGATCACATGACATAATAATTGTAAAGCACTTAGCACTGTGCAGTTTCTCCACTTCGTTAGCAAATTGCCCATATTTTAGAGCGAGTGGGGTGTTTTATCTGGTAGCCAGATCACATATTTTGGGTATTCTTTAGTAAAAGTACTTTCTTACTTTGAATCCCTCCTCCCCTTTTCTCTTTTGCCAGCTCCAGCTCATTGTCAGGCACACCACTAGCCATTTGCCTTTTTTACTGACTTTATTAGTAGCATGAGACAACGTGGAGCCATCTAGCGTTTATCACGCCCTTCCTACGTGCCAGGCAGCGTGCTAAGTACTGGGGTTACAAAGAAAGACAAAACAGATAAACAAAATGCTCCCTGCTCTCAAACAGCTGGCAGTCTAATGGGGTGATATTTGGTCCGTGTATGTGGCCATTATTCATTGGAGAGTTCCTGTACCCTGGATTTCAGAACCCCAGCCTTTGGCCATAGTCCCCAAGACTGCTCCAGCAATCCTGCTCTTTGGGGTGAGGGCATGAGGGGGAAGGTATGTCAGGCCATTCTCTTCAGCTTGTGGTACTGGGATTGTTTGGCTTGATGAGAATGCCAACACCTAATAGGCTGAGAGGCCAAGAACAGGAGCGATATGGGACTCAAATCTTCAGGGTCTTGGCAGTTGAGGAAGGCTGGAGTTACAAAGAGAGGTGCTCAGAAAGTTATTTACAACAGAAATAAGATGGGGAAGTTTTGATACCTTGTTCTTTTTTATTTTCTACTATCTTTTGCATATTTGCCCTTTATGCTCTCTAGCTCCTATCTGCCTTATTTCTTGCCCAGAGAAATGCTCTAGACTTGGCAGACTCATTCTTCATGTGAGCGTAAGAAGCAACCTACTATGCCAGGAGGATTTTTTGACTCTTTTATCTAAGCTTTCACCATATCTGAAGGTTGAAGTGACTTGTGTGCAACCTGTTGTTCACCTTCTCTGGAATCCAGTAACGGGTGCAGTCCACACCTTATCCAACAGCTTTGGCCGCCCAGAATCACAGAATTGGAGTGGCAGCCTCCCTGCCTCACTTTGGGACAGTGTCTGTGTTTAGCCCAAATTACTCCTGTTGTGCTCTCAGCCCTATCCATGCAGGAAGTCAGCTGGGTCCTCTCTAATTCTGGCTAAACCTTCCCATTTCTTTCAGCTGATTCTTATGTGTACTAGACTTGAGGCCCTATGCCATCCTGGTTGCCCTCTCAGATTCTCTCCAGCTTATCAGAGTCCTTCTTAAACTGTGGCCCCCAGACCTTCACACTGTGCAACAGATGAAGTCTGGCAAGGGCAGAGAATGGAAGGGCAGTCACCTCCTATTTCTGGCAATTGTTCCTCTCCCAGTGTAGCCCAAGATCATGCCTAGAAGCCCTCCTTCCTCTCCCCCCCATTACTTTGTATTTATTTTGTGTATATATTTTAAATAATATTCTATAAGTACATGTTACTTCCTCTAGTAGGCCATGGAGGCCCGGGCTTGTTTTGTTTTGTTTGTTCATTGTTTTTTTGTCTCCCATATCATAGTGCTGACTCCTTGAGCTTTCAGTCCTCTAAGAAAAGGGAAGAGAAAAGGGAATAATCATTTATATAGTGCCTGTTGTGTGTCAGGCAGTGTGCTAAGTGTTTTTTTTTAATTATCTCATTTAATATTCAAAACAACTCTGTGAGGTAGGTGCTGTTTTTATCCCCGTTTTATAGTTGAGGAACACTTAGATGAGCAGTGGTTAAGTGACTTACCCAGTGTCACACAGTTAATAAGTGTCTGAAGCCAGATTTGAACTTGCTTCTTCCTGACTCCTTTATGTCACCAGCTGTTTCAATCTTTTTCAGAAAAACTATTGCCCAATCATGCCTCTTCTTGACCCCATTTGAGGTTTTCTTGGCAAAGATACTAGAGTAATTTGCAAGTTTCCTTCTCCAGCTCATTTTGTAGATGAGGAAATTGAGGCAAATAGGGTGAAGCAGCTTGCCCAGGGTCACACAGATTGGAAGTGTCTGAGCCCAGATTTGAACTTAGATCTTCTTGATCCCAGGCCCAGCATTCTACCAACTGTGCCATCTAGCTGGCCGCTAGCTGGGCTTGGTGTCAGGAAGATCCATTCCCCCCAGCTTCTAAGGCTTTCCTTTTTCAGATTTACATTCGATCTAGCCTGTCTGTATATATTGTATGTACCTAAGAATTTACATGTTGTCTTTCCCATTAGGGCATTCCTGTCCTTTGTGAAGGCAGGAAAGGCGGGCTCTCCTTTGGATGCTTTGTGCTTAGCACAGTGCCTGGAGCTTGGGGACTGGCCAACAGACCGAATGAGCCTGGACAGATCTCTTTGCTTCTCTCAGCCTCAGTTTCCTTGTGTGGCAGTTGAAGGGCTTGGACTAGCGGGCCTTGAAGATCTCTGCTCAGTCTTATTCTCTGATCCTCATAATCTCATTTTATTCCCTCTATGAAATCTCACTTGGTGACTTTAGCTACTTCCATGGATTTAATGACCTCGATGCAGTCTGTCTGTCTGTCTGTCTGTCTCTGTCTAGTTCTTCTTTCTCCTGAATTCTGGTTGTGCTTTTCTACCTGCCTTTTGTACTTTTCAAATTGGATGTCCTGTAGGTACTTGCAGCTCAGTATGTCCAAAATGGAACTCATGTTTTCCACTAAAATCCACCTGTCTTCCAATCACCTCTACTTATTTCGATTGAGGACACCATCGTCTTTCTAGTCACCCAAATCTGCAAACTTGGTATTCTACTTGTCTCCTCAATCATCATAGCCAGACCACTTGTCAAGCCTTCATGTTTCCACCCCCAAAACATTTCTTCTCCCCACCCCCTTCCATTGCATGGCTACCACCCTTGTTCAGGCCTTCATTGCCTAGTGTCTGGACTGTTGCAGTAAACTCCTTTTCCAGGTTTCTCTGTCTCAAATTTCTCCCCTCTCCAGTCCATTGTCTCCTCAGTTGCCATAAAGAGTTTCCTAAAGCACAATTCTGACCATATCACTTCTCTGCTCAGGAAACTCCAATGGCTCTCTGCTGCCTGTGGAATCAAATCCAAATTGTGTCTGACTTAGTAAGCTCTTCACCTCCTGGCCCTCCCCTGTCTTCACTCCATGTTACCTGTTGATGTCCTTCACGTGCTCTGCAGTCTAGCCAGACTGGCCCCATCTCCCATGTCCGGGACTTTGCACTGCTGCCCTCTGCCAGTGGAACACAATTCCTCTTTATCTCACTCTTCTTAGAATCCTTTGTTTCCTTAAAGATTCAGCTTAAATATGAAGCCTGCCCTGGTGCTCCTCCCCAGCAACTGTGGCCTCTCCCCACCTTTCCATTACTTTGTATTTATTTTGTGCATATTTATAGCTACATGCTGCTTCCTCTTGCAGGATATAAGACTATTGAGGCCTGGGCCTGTTTTAATTTTTTGTCTCTGTATCCCCAGTGCCTAGCACAGTGCATGACCCATAGCAGATGTTTCAGAAATGTTTATTGGTTGATTAACGGATTGATTGTTAGATGTAGCCCAAAGCTTTGGAGCATTGAATAGCCTTCAACGCTTTCTCTCTTGATCCCTGTCCCACAATGGCAGGTGGGTAGCTCTTCATTGGCGCGTGCATGGCTTATCACTGTGAACAGAGAAAACTTGGCTCCTGAGTGCATGGACGTGGGTGGGTTGGATGTGGTAGATCTGATGTCACAAGATGAGTTCAGTTAAGCATTTACCCTGGACCCTTCCATTGTCATTTCCAAATGTGTTTTCTCTCTCCTCAAGCAGATGCCTTTCTTGACCCACCCGTTTATTTATTCTCCTTGCATAAAGTTGTTGACTGTCTTCCTACTGCTTGTAACTCTTCATTTGTAGATGTAAGTAACTATAGAGACAGCTCTTTTAATGATTCCTGATGTGCTGCTTTTAAATGGTAGTGATTTTAGCATAAGAAATAATGAAGATAAATCCATTAATAACAGATTACCAAAAGGTTGATAGGGCTTTTAAAGGGCTGTGTTTATTTAGTGAAGTTCAAGGGTCAAGCAACTCACAAAGTAGGTTTCCCTTGTGCATTCGGTACCCAGAGAAGGTGGGACCACAGAGTTTTTACATTTCCGTTCCAGCATTTTTTTGTGTTTTGTGACTTATATTGCTAATGTATCAGAAAATGCGTGATTTTTAAATGGTTTGCCTACTACATTTATGATTGTGATATTTAAAAAAAAAATTAAATCCTGGTTCTTACCTTTTTTTCCCTATGGCAATATATTTCTAATTTTCAAATGGAAATCAAAGGGTAATATGCTTTGGTGTGTAAGACTGTATATTAACAGCCATTTCTCTAGGAATATCCGTTCTACAGAGTGCAGCATTCGCTTGCCTTCATTGTAGAAAATTATATGTTTTCTGATGAACCTTTAGTTGAAACAGAATCAAAGCTGCTAATGGCTAGAGCTATCTTGTGAAACTTCAAATTCAAGCTAGTTTTTTTTTAAGTAATATGTTGAATCCTAATCTTACAGAACTATTAATCACAGAAAAGACCTTTATATGTAATGTGATTTTTTAAATCTTGGATTTAGTGCCTTTCTTAGTGTCTAACTTACTGGGCATTACATAGCTCAAAACTTGTGTGTTCGTATTATATAATTTAAACTAGGAGTATAGATAATAGGCAGTGCAGTTACACATAAAATGCAGAATAACTGATGATCAAAAATCATTTCTACCTA